GTCAAAATAACTGGCAACACAATCAGGACGGGTCAGGAAAGCTCTTTTCAAGAGCACAAAAAACTAAGGGAAAAAGCAGGCCACCATTTTATTCATCCCACAGAATAATGCAACAAGTTTGATTCCAACTGAAATATGATACGGATTGTAGTAGAACACAATCCAAACTACAATGTCCAGGAATCACTACTGAACTACTGTTTTATCACAGTTTCTCCCTCAGTTGGCTATAAGCATTAATAAATACTGAAGGAGTTCACAGAATTTCAGTTAATGTCAAGTACGAAAGGCCGCAGAAACACATTATGACTTACTGGTTTGTATATTCCAAATCAGAATCATGGTGTTTATATGAATTAAGAAAATTGGCCAGAACATATCAGAGAAGCCCACACTGGTACATGCTGCTTTCTCTCACAGAAGGGAAGAAAAAAAAATCACACACAATAATGACATCATTAACAATACAATTTGAACAAAGAGAATAATTGGCCCAAATGAAAGAATGACTGAATCGTTGGATGGTGTACTGCATCATTTGCCTGCTCTGTTTGTTTTCTCAGAAGAAAGAGGAGGCTGTCAAAGTTTCATAGTGCGGATCTGAGTGAGGGAGCACGCCTTGCATTTCAAGCGCACAGCTGATCAGGGTCTCAGCCGGATCCGCTGTCCCTGGCCAATCTGAAGCAGCACTGCAGTGCTCTATCTAGGCCTTTCAGACAGTTCAGCACAAAAGGACTTTTATTTTGCCAGTGAGGCCTCTAGATGTCAGGTGCCTAGTTGATTAATGGAGCTTGTACGTTTTATAATGACAAGTTACCATGCACAGTACTGCACCATGTAAATATTACCTAAGAATATCGAATGACTACTAACAGAATAATCTATTCCATTTTAAAACATGTACAAACATCACATGTGTCACGAAGGCATTGCACAAGTCATACAAAGGAGTCTTATGCATCAAAATGTCCCACAACACTTTCTCCACCTCATCCTTAATGGCATTTTATCAGTATGGTTTCTGATGTGATAAGAGAAAACCACCCATACTACAGCCTGGCTTTTAAAAAAAAAAAACTTCTGATGAATAAAATTTCAAATATTTGCTCTGCTCTGATGAATCTCTGCCTTTATAGTCTCGGAAATCACGTTGTGAAACTTCTTGCTTTCCAAAACACTGCATTTAATTTTTTTTCCTAATTCAATTTTATTAGTTAATTTACCATTCCCTACTTTTTCAGCTGCCACTTATATACTTGTCTCTTATATACTTGTTTTCACACACACACACACACACACACACACACACACAGAAGTCGTACTAGGCGGAATTGGCATGCAGAAAAAAAAATGATGTTGCAGACAGGAAACAGGAGCCCAAATGAACACAATTTTGACTTACAGTCCACTTCATTCAGTGTCACCCCCCTGATTGAAACATATGCAAGACAAACTTCCAGGTGATGGTATGGTGTAAGGTCCAGAACACGTATTCGGTATATTACATTTGGCTTGGTGCACACAATGAAAAGAATGATCACATTTCTTGACACAGATGGAACCTAAATTCACAAGCAGATGTTCAACATCAAAAATATTATGCTAATTGTGGCTGTGATAATTATGGATAATTATGGTTAGAATCAGTCATAATTGGCAGTTTGGGAACATTTTGGTTTCCCAATAAATTGCACCAACACAGGAGAGAGAACACATAAGACCAAACTGTGTACCAAACTTAATTTTGTACACTGTTACAGTACACCTCTAGTATAGTATAAAATAAGCACTAGTCCAGAAAAGCCAGTTGTCTGCCAACACAGATGATTATTAGGCCTGTCAGGACTCTCAACCCTAATACAAACACATGCACAAAAATTGTTGATATGTATCATTCTGAAACTTATTTCAATTATGAACCATTTCACAGTATAACAGAAGAAGAATATATACAAACATACATTCCTGAATGTACATTTTATGACCACAGGTCACTAACTGTAAATCTCCAATAAATTAGTGACAATGTTTTCAATGTGATAGATAAAACTGGGTCATCAACATTTTAAACTAGAAGAAAAGCTTGTAAAAACAACAAAATAAATATATTGGACCCCATTAGATGCATTTACACATTACATGATATCATCCATATAAGTAAGAAAGATTTTTACACTTTTGAACTGAAAATTATTTTCATTTTCAAAAGCTTAAGTTTGCTGACTGCTATAAATAATTGACAAACAGCAGGTAAAGTCTGACAAATTGGATTATCACCATAAAACAAGAACAGCCAGTTGAATTTTGCAGCATAGACAACTGGAGTTTCAAACTGGAGTTTTTGTAGCATATAGCCATACATATACAAATACCTTCAAGCTATATATACATATATATGACAACTACGTCATTTTGCAAAATTGCTTTCTTTTGCTCTCCCACCCAATTCAGCCTGTTTCACTTCTATATTAGATTCAATACCCTACACACATAGAGAGGCCTTAAAGGCTGGGTGTGTACCGTTCAGATGGACTCCTTGCCAAACCAGTCTTTACACACCACAGATTACAGAGTAGCACAGGAGACCCACTGCCATCTTTAGAAAGGCATAGGCCTTCTCACAACCCACCAGCTGCTACCTGCACACACACGAGAGATGTTCAGGAAGTGCTTAGGCAGAACAATGTGGAGACAGTCCAAACAATTCAGACCTTTATAATTACCGAATTCATAGAATACTGGAGCAACGCTGTTGCCAACAATCTGATGCCACTGTCCTGAATTAGAACTCAAGCAATAGACACATGCAGGGTAACAAACAGCCGTGCCTCTCTTTACAATTATTAAATTGCAAAGTTCCTGCATCACTCGAAGATTAAATATCTATTATATCATGATATGGGCTTTTTCCACACATCATCATTTTCTTTGATATCTAAACAAGGTTCCAAAACAGAGGGGGAAAAAAACACAAAATCTGCAACATGACTCACAAAGTTCAAAGACACGCGCCTATTGTTATGTCCGTTTCTTCTGTGTGTGTGTGTGTGTGTGTGTGTGTGTGTGCGTTGTGATTGTTAAGCAAACATACCAAAAACAAGAGAAATGATTTTCACCCAGACTTACACCACTTCATACATGTTCTACCTGTGCATTTACAATTTAATAAGGAGACACTCCTAACAAGAAGCCTACTAACTATGGAAAGAATTGATCTGCAAAGTGTACCCATACAGGACATCCCACAACAAACAACTTCAGCTTATTTAAATTACCTTATAAGAACACATTTTCCCATAGATAGTTAAACAAACTCACATTAGTGCAGGGAATGCATAATGTGACCCAAAACATTTTTAAATGATGTGATGAAATGATTACTCTCTCTGAGGCTTAATACATAATTTCATTCGATAATGTTCAGTTTGTGAGGATGGCTGCATTGTGATGGGCAGGGAAAGTAAGGGAGATGAGATAAAATCCTCCTCAGGTCATGCACAACTGCAATATACTACTATACACATATAATATACTGTGCGCCGCACACTTGAATGATTAACCTGACCTGCTAATTCATACTGACATGAAGAAAAGACACTGAGAATATGATGACAAACATCCATTGATCGTCTATCCATCTCACATTTGCTCGAGTTGTGAAAGAGGTTCTGTTAGAACTTAACCAACTTTAACACTGACAAAGTAATTATTATATGCAATATATGCAATTTAGGGGTGAAGCAGTTTTTTTTTCAATTTCACTAAATATCCATGGCAACATCAATGTTTAAAGTCAAAATAGCAGCAACACCCTGTGAAGAAACACATTTACGCATCACCCAGACATACAGTACCCATGGGTAATCACATGCACGATATATCTGTCACACCCTGTGCACACATATAAGGTAGACCCTTGAATACTGTTCATCTATTCACACATTTATACAAATACTAGATTTTCTACTTGAAATACATTTTTGCATGCACGCATTTGTTAAAAGCAAGCAAGGGATAATTTGAACATACACTGATTTTAATCTGATTAAATAATTAAAAAGTTGCTATTGCTTTAAAGGTATACAAAAGAGAGCGCACAGACTAGGTTATTTTTGGAACACTATAACGAATACACGCATATACAGGAACAACATATTACGTAGAACTAGACTGCGCTGCATATTCACAATTCTTACACTGAAAGGAACTGAGTCGCGGAATTGACAAAGACAAAACGTCCGTTTAATTATATCAAGATCATAAATCTCTACGTATCCCTTTTGACCATGCATCGTTTCTACTGAACACAACTGATGATATTGTTCTTTCTGTTTAATTGTTCACAGACATTTCAGCTTGTCCAAAAGGGGCTGAAGCGGGCTTTTTGTAGTGTCGGACCCTCTTTCCTGTAGCTAGAAAAACATTGCAAACTTGGAATTCACTCGTAACCAGCACTGCTAACATGAATGCATTGCATGTGTAATTATGTATCTTGTACAACACGCCAGCTTGAAGCTATGTATGTTTTTAAGTGACAGCTTCATTGTTAGCTTCTTGAAGAATATTAGCTAGTTGAAAGCGAATATAATTTCTGAGCCTAACGCCACTATATACTAATCGGTAGACAATAGTGGCCTGATGCAAAGACCAACTAAATTAAGCCTAATAGATTGCGTTTAGCAATAACGGGTGTCGATTCATTTATGTAGTTGGTTATTTTAAGGGCAAATGACATTTTTCAGAACTATAGCTGGACTTGATCTGGCCTACATAGTAGAACCGCAGTACAGAGCACATTTCTCGCAATCAATTATTCGAACAACACCCGACATGAATAAGATGCGAAAAATAAACTTGGACTGAAGCCCGAGGAAATGCGTCTCATATTTTTTCCCTCTTTCTCGAAGAAACTTTCATAAATACCTGGTTTCTCTTGCTAACTTAATTACGGAAGCCGGTGACGTGACCCACAAAGTAAATGACAACCAAATACACCAATGACATTCCGAGGTAAAACACTGAGCGGCCCAATAATCGCTCAGGCAGCCAATCAACAAGAAGGAAGGTGGTCGCCAGTTGGTCACTCAAGTTTAGATGGACCGTACTAAGGCCCAATCCCCAAGGTAGCCTAAATGGTGTTCGCCGAAAAAATAAGAGTGACCACGGTAAAATACTTCGAGTTTCTCTCCTAATGCCAGCGAACATTGAAACTACTTTCGACAACAAAAACCGTAGCGAGAGAATTATTACAAACCCAATGTCCACATTAACTGGAAATGCAAGATTTGTTTTTTTAGCGACTAGTCTTCCAATTAGTGACATAGTTTTAATGACAACGGATAAATGCCAAACCTACCCAGAAATTCTCTAGGAAATAGGCCATTATCATCCTGATTTCTTCTTATCCTTTGCAGCCGCCTTTGATATTATTACGTTAATTTCAATTGACGTAGTTAGCTTGCTGTCCTCCCCTATTCTGTTGTGTCTGCTTTTTTCTTTTTTCTTCTCTCTCCTTCCCCACCTTCAGACTCCACCTCCCTTAGTCTGAGAAGTATCAGTTGCCTTGTACTCTAAATCCCGCTCGCGGAAAGAGAAGAAATGGCGCCACCCGTGGAAAGTACAGTAACAGCAGGGGAATATTTCCCGGCCGAGTCCTTCAATGTGACATAACATCATCCTGCGGAGGAGGGAGATGGGCATCTACGTATAGGACTATAGGTAACATATTTTATTTTATTCATGTTTTAGGACTCCGTACTGATATCGTACTGATTACAAATATCTTAAATCTGTAAAGAAAATAATATCAAAAAATTAATGTGCAGTTGCATCTGTAACTTTTAGTAGCCTATTATATGCACAGAAATAGCTAATTTTATCCTTTAAAAAGTTTCAGCTACATGCCTAAATATGTATCTGCACGTGGTGGTGATGTGGTGCTTCATATTTGTGTATTTATTAGGCATATCAAGTATAGATGGACCAAGTTCCCAAGATATAAAATTTCAGGAATAAATAGAAAATGAATCATTACCATTAAACTCCATGATATAGGATGGTAAATAAGCAGAGCGCAATGCTGACATTCATTGAATTGTTCTCTGTTGAGCCATGCCAACTTGTCAGCAGTCTAAAAAAACAGCATTTTCATTTCAGATTCAGTGATATCAAGAGGGAATATGATGCTGTTTATTATTTTACTATTGAATAAAATTTAAACAAACTCTAATAATATCATATTTTTTACTGATGTAATATGATGCACCCCCTGCCTTGTGCCCTACCACCAGTGCCGAATCTACCCACCAATCTACAGTTGCCTTAGACAGGCCCATAGCAATTTCAAATAAATTTTGGTGATGGGGGGTCCTCTTCAGATAATTTTTCTGATTGGGGGGGGTGTCTTGAACCCTTTTTCTGATCGGACCCTAGTTTGCCTATGCCTAGTTCCGCCCTAGATCTCTCTCTCTCTCTCTCTCTCTCTCTCTCTCTCTCTCTCTNTATATATATATATATATATATATATATATATATATATATATATATATATATATATATATATACACACACACACATATATACATACACACTAATTGGTCGACAATAGTGGCCTGATGCTAAGACCAACTAACTTAAGCCTAATGGATTGCGTTTAGCAATAACGGGTCAGCAGAAAGGTTATAGGATTAGGATAAGATAGTGGGACAATAGTCAATTATCTCATGTTCTCATTGTACAGATAGTTGAAACTAGATTACAGGGTGCACTTTTCCAGCTTGCCTTCTCATTTGCTGCAGTTATTAATGACTAGAAACAGCTTTTTACACTGTCACCAGTGGACTTTCCATAATTTGGTGCTCTTGGAATGCACAGCAGAAGTGGCCTTGTTAGAATTTAGTGATTCATTAGTGATTAGGGCTACTTTATTGAAGCAACCACTGTGATTATTTGTAAGGCCATAATTGTGATATATCGTCCCCCTCCAATATTCACATGCGCTCACAATGTCCACCCTATTATCTACCCATATTAAAAAAAACAAAACAGTTTTACTATGTTACAACAGACAACCACAAACTGCCATCTAAAATTGTAATGCAATCACAATCATATGGGGGTGTTAGGAGCAGATTTGGTCCCCCCCAGTGCTTACTCCATGGCTAGGCCCTTTTGACATAACACCTGCAACATGATTTTATATAGATTTTTCTTTTTTTCAGCATTATTTTACAGCAATAGGCACACCATGCAGTTATTATCTGCTTTCCCTATAAACAGAGTGATCCATGAAGTCTCAAAATGGACATAGCAACCTCTCTCATTCGGCATGAGTAAATCGTGGTACGTTACAAATATTTCATTTGTGAGTAAACAAGCAAATACACCATACCAAGCGTTCACATGCAGTGTTGGGGAAGCAACTTTTAAACATTAGATTTTCAAGCTACAAGCTACTTATGATAAATAGTATGTAAGCCAAACTACTGTTTTAATATAGTAGTTAGGTACGCTACATGCTACAGAGAAAAAGCAGCCAACTACATCAAAGCTATTTCATTTGGTAATACTTAATATTTGTGCTGTAGTATACTCTTAAAATTAATTTTAAAAAACGTAATGTTAAAAATTAATTTTTTAAAAATGTATTGTTAAATCACAATAAGGTTTTAAAAATGTTTCTGTATTTGTTGTAAATCAAGATACTTCACAATTGCTGTGTGAAAATTAGAAGGGTTACAATAACAAAAAACGAGTTTTTGATAATCTGTCCAAGAACCAAAGTGCTCCTATGCATTTTAATGAAAGTGTCTAAAATATTGTTTGCGGTGAAGTATTTTTCAACCGTTTAATATCCAATCCCCGGAGTATTCAAGCAAAAAACATAAATCAGAAACAGCTGGTACTGCAATATATAGTCTTTGTAAAGAGAGAAAAATAATACAGGTCGTCGTGGACTTACAACTGCGATCGGTTCAGACGTAAGTAGCTTCTTTATTTTATATACAAAAATGATCATATGTATAGTATACTATAAAATAAATTATATCATCTTTGTCATATTGTTTGGTGTTTTAACCTGAATAAAAATATACGTTGCAAATATCAAAGATACAGAATGAAATCGTTTCTTCTCTTTTTTTGTTTTGCTTCTGGAATTTTATTTTATTTTAATTTTGCTTCTGGAATGCTTTTTTTTTCTTGGTTCTGATATGACACTTTTTTTAACGGGTGGGCGGGTCCTAGAAGGGGGGGTGTCCACCTTACGCGTCTATTTTGGTCAGCTGGAATTAAACATGGCGGAAAGGTCCGGTGCCGCTTTTCAGCCGGTGGCTGTCATTGAATTGCATCTATGCAGTTCTATAATAGTGTATTTTTATTAGAAATCGATGTATGCAACACATATGTCGTGCTCATAAAATGTCACCAACCCATCCAGCTGAGTAACTTTCACTATTCCACCAACTCGGTGACCCTAGCCAGATTATCAGACAGCAATCTAATTTATTTTACAGATAACGTTCAACGGCCAATACAAGTCTAACGTTCGGCACACAACACATTTTGGTACCAACTTAGGCTTTGGGTTCACGGTTCAGTGCAATTTCGGTATAGCAGAGAAAACAGGATTTTAGAAGAATTTATTATTAAAATCGCGAACACAACAGTACAAAGCAATGCGTCGGTCTGAATGACTACCACGAGACACTCATTTGCACATTATAAAAATAAATATGTAAAATAAATAAAAACGTCAAAAACACAAAAATCATAATGAACTAAAACCCGTGTTCTGTACTGCTGAGTATATTTGCATGTCTGTAGCGATAAAGACATATATAATTTTTTTTAGCCGGTCAAAAAATTCATAAAGTTACAGGAAGACTAACTTGCAGTTCCTGTCTTGCTGTGGTCGTACACACTCGGATGTTGTCTCAAAGTTAGTATGTCGGATGTGTTTCCAGCAACAAATCCCAGTTCGACAGAACCGACAGACAGTCTTGGTCTTTCTCTCCTGTGCTGGTGTCCTTTATAGGGGAAAAAAAATGCTCCCAAACCGATTATTGCTGATTGTAACCAACATTGGCCATAACCATAGTCACAGCTAATGGGCATGATATTTTCCATGATGAACATCCACTTGTGAATCTATATTCCACTACTATCAATAAATGTATTCACCAAGGTACCATGGATTAATGGGCATGAAAAAATAAACCTGAGATTGTGTTTTGCACATGCTCAGTACTGCTTAGTAGCACTTCTCGTATGGACAGAATACCTATTCAAGAGAACAATCCTAGGGAGCTGGGACTTAAGAGCCTTGCTCAAGGACCTGTAGACATGCGAAAGGCCAGGCTTGAACCAGTGACCTTCAGGTCATAAGCAAAGAGGCTTAGCCCTCTGAGCTGCAGGCTGCCCCCAAAGTAGCATCCTGATCTAGCTAACAGAGCTGAAAACAGCTGTTGTAGCAAAATGAAGGATCTGACCAATGGCTGAGCAACTCATGTGTGGTATAATGACACAATTAAATGTTTGTTTAAACTCTTGATCTAAAAAAGCAAACACACCAATTCCACAGCTGTGTATGTCATACATTTGAATCATCTAATGATATTGTTATAAAACTGGAGTCTTCCTCTCAGTCAGCTGACAAAGTTTGTCAACAGCCATACGTCACAAAGGAGCATGGACGCTGTTCCCAGCTTTCTGAAGTCTCTGTATGACAAAATGCAGGAGTTCCTGTTGGTGTCATAATCTCAGAAAACAAGAACAACAGATGCAAATGTCCTTTAGCCGATACTCAGAATCCTGGAGAAGGAGTACTAGCCCCCCCCCAGTCAAATTATGACACATCTGAGTAGCCCAGAATGTCCTGAAAACAAAAACATACAGCATATGTGGCTAACTGATGTACATACAATGTAATAAGCCTAAAATCAAAGGGGTGCAAACTCCTCCAAAATGGACAGAGTTCAAAGGGTTAGCATAGGAAGGGGATACGATTTTGATTTTTCTTTTTCCTGCTCCGGCAGTAGTGTGCTGTGAGGATTTTTTGTGGTTTTTCAGCCTCCCAAGAACAACTTCCCTTTATTTTAGCTTTACATGGTAAATAATGGTTAATTTGGTTATTTAAAAAGTCTAATTTAAAAGGTTTTTATATCTCTGACCCTGTCAGATCATTAAAAAGTTCACAGCACTTTATTGTATTAACTATGTATTAATTAAATCAACTAAAAGTCAAATAGAGTACGCTATATAAATATACAGGGCTGGGAGTATGGGAGAGGGTCATAGTGAGATAGTTAATTATGGGGCCAGTTCAGTGTTGTGTTTGCAAGATGTTTGCCCTTCTGGATGCCTGTGTCCAGTCGGACTTCATCTGCGAACGATATCGGCTGGTGGACTCACTCATGATCAAGGTTCGTGACCTTGAGGAGCAACTGGCTCTCATCCGGCACAACACAGAATTAGAAGAGATAGATAATACACCTTTTAGGAAGATTGTGTGTATGCCACAATCGGGAGGGGGGAAGAATGAAGAACAGAGAGGTCAAGTGAGCTGGATGACCATAGGTCATAGACGTAAGAATGGGCATACACACTTAACAGAGGTGACATCATCTGAAGCTGTAAGAGACTGGGGAGGCAGGAGGGCCCTCGGGCAACAAGGAGCCCCCTCCTCCCAGGAGGATGGAGGTTGTGGTAGGAGGGGATTCAATTATTAGAGATGTAGACAGTTATGTGTGCATCCGTGATAGAAGGTCCTGTACAGTGTCTTGCCTGCCTGGTGCCCAGGTAGGAGACCTTCTGAATCGTGTAGACAGGCTTTTGGCCCCAGCCGGGGTGGATCCAGTGGTCGTGCTGCATGTTGGCACCAATGACATAGGAAAGGGCTGGAGGGCTGTTCTGCAAGATAAATTTATAGAAGTCGCAGATAAGCTTAGAAGCAGAACATCCACGGTGGTATTCTCTGGAATACTAAGTTAGCTGAGATATGGAGATTAAACACGTGGCTAAAAGGGTGGCGTAGGAAAGAGGGGTTCAGGTTTATGGGGCACTGAAAGACCTTCTGGAACAGGTGGGACTTGCTCAAGCCGGACTGGTTGCATCTGAACCAGCGGGGAACCAGTGTATTGGGGAGGCGTATGTGCAGAATAGTTGAGGAATGTTTAAACTAGGGACTGGGGGAGCAGGGAGGTTAGTTAAGAATATAGGTGGGGGCCAACAGAAAACCCCTAATAATAATGCAAGTGGGGGCCTACCCTTTGCTGTTTGTTGTTAATTCTGTAAACCTTTGTGAATTAATTGTGGTAAAGTTAATTTTATATTCAGTATTCGATATATTAAAAAAAATGTACTTCACACTTGCACTGATTGATATACACTATATTGACAAAGTATTGAGACACCCCCCCTTCCTCCTGGTGTGGAGGAACTTGACTGGCCTGCACAGAGCCCTGACCTCAACCCAATAGAACACCTTTGGGATGAATTAGAGTGGAGACTACAAGTCAGGTCTTCTCGTTCAATATCAGTGCCTGACCTCACAACTGCTCTCCAGGAAGAATGGTCAAAAATTCCCATAAACACACTCCTAAACCTTGTGGACAACCTTCCCAGAAGAGCTGAAGCTCTTTCAGCTGCAAAGGGTGGGCCAACTCAATATTAAAGCCTGTGTATTAAGAATGGGATGTCATTAAAGTTCATGTGTGGCAGGTGTCCCAATATTTTTGGCAATATAGTGTATTTATGTCAAACCAACTGATCTATGCAGACTAATATTGCTGATATGTCCAAGACCATAACTATAATAAATATTGGGGGAATATCTGCCAATATAAAAAATATACATATACAAAATAGACAAATAACTTGCTATGGTACAACAGGCAACCACGCGCTTCCATACAAAATAGTAACTGTAATGGAATCAAATTGGTAATCATAAGGGGGGTGTTGATGGCAGGGGAGGCCGGCTATAAATAAATCAAAGGTGATAGGATCAAATTCACAACACACACACTTTAGAGATGTATGTAAACAATTTATTTTCAACAATTTACAGATCCAAGCAGTGATTAACATTCACATCTATCACTACATCATACAAATGTCATTACAAAATTACTACAGTACAATATATATATATTCTTTGCATGATCCAAAATATTTGGTGGCCCCAAAATTTTTTCTTTAAAATTCAGCAGCTTATCAAAAAATTAAAACCATATTACTATTCAAAATTAAGTTTTCTTATGTTTGTGAAAGAGTGAAGGCAGACTAAGAAATACTAGTCAAGTATACACAGCTAAAGAGACGTTTGCTGGAGGATGTTTTTAAGGAGACATTCTAACATTACAGTAGATGGTGCGATATTAAGCTTTTTATATTCAATTACTTTCCCCCCCCCCGAAGAAGACCCTAATCCTCAACCCCAGTAAGACCAGATCAGAGCAAATGTGCAATGTGCCTTATTTACTTCGAGACAATGCTTACATTGAAATCATCCAGGTGATTAAGGCACCCAGTAAATACTGTACTTGTAATTATAATAAATCAGTCACCCCTTTGTATTTTTATGTGCCATTTGTTTCCTTCCAGCATATGAACTTTAGTTTATGAATTTTCTATGAATGTACCTGCAAACTGTAACAAGTAGAAGTTCACTCAGTCGTTAAAGTTAGTAATAGATTCTTTTTCCCTAAAATGGGGAAAGTTTCTAAAATGACCAGTTCTAAATCTATATGTCTATTTGGGGTTGAACAGGAGTTACTTCGTAGTCTATTTTTGTTAGAGTCCTTCAGTAGGGAAGCTCAAATGGAAAAGGCATACATAAAAAAATAACGGTAAACACAGGACCTCCTGAGGTTTCTACAACAAAAATATTCAAGTAGAAAACTACATCATCACTTAGCAGCGGCCATATCTGTAAGACAGCACACCAAAAGCATTTACTTCAGTGTGAGAGTAGCAGACAAATTAAGCCGTGCTTTTTAAGCATGCCAAACATCTGGAATGTGACAAGACAAAATTATCACAACTTCAGAAACATTCACACAGCACAAACATGAAAACCATAAAACAGGTGCTTCATATATCCCATGATGTTTCCTTTATTATAATGTCCATTCTTTTGGGTGGTTTATATCGTAAGGCAGAGAAACAAAACGTTCACTTTAGAATAAATAAAAACAAATAAATACTCAAGCTGACTAATAGTAGTCTAATGTTGACTCTGAAAGTCTGATGGGCTTAACTTTCTACATCAGAAGTTAATTTCTATAGGACTTTGCATAATCCATCAAATATATGCATATTTTTTTACAATAAAACAAAAACCCACAGCATCTGTGGTAGTGTAATTAAACATAACAGAATTTTAATTTTAAAGAGTCTTTCCAATCGTATATGATTTGAACACTAAGCCATTTCTTTCTTTAAAAAAAATGAATAAACAGTGGTTAAACTATATGGGGTAAAACATCGATAGGGTAATTCTCAGAATTTTACATGGAATACAGTATTCTTCACGGTAAATTAAAGTGGAGGCATCCAGTCCAGGAAGATGAGGAATGTGGAAATGATAACCCCAAATGATTTTAAAAAGGAGACTTATGTGCCTTTCACTTTTGCAGGTTGGGACAGACGGTGCCACTCACGCACAGAATGAGAGCACGCAAAGATCCATTAAAATTAGGGGAGTGACGTATTAGCGCTAAACACTTAAGTCTCTGCCAGAATCCGCTATGGCTTTAGAAGGGCACCAATGTGTAGGTATGTTACGAAAGCAAAGAAAGAAAAGTGGTAGAGGAAGGGGGGAAATGGTGGGCTTCACTCTGACCAGCAGAGCGAGTTTTAGTTGGTACATCCCATCATCCTGCCTGCCCTCTGTTCATCATGGGATACAGTCAGCCGATCTACATATTCAAGACTCGCACTTTGGAAAATCAAAACAAAACACTTAATAGTACCAGATCTATTTTGTTCCAGGTTCACAGTATTAAACAATGTAACAAATACATATTAAGGTGAAGGGATAGGCTGAACACATAAGGGCTTACTCACAATATGTAGCCTAAAAATGAGAAATTAAAAAATGCCAAATAAGTAGGTAATGGAGGGTCATAATCCACCTTTCATTATCGATATATTACCCATTAATCTACTTAGGGTAGTGAGGCCACCAACATGCGCGAATCAAATTTGAGTACCCTGCTTATTACATCCATTTAAATAACTAATTATAAGCATTCTTAAGATCATGCGTTAAAAAAAATTAAATAAAATAAAATAAAATTAAATAAAAACCAAGTTGAGTGGAGGTGGACGACCAAGAACCTCAAGCAGACACTGATTGCTGTCCTTCGGTGCCGACCAATGTTCAACAAAGCCCTTAACAGTTTTTCCTAACCACACAGCTTGTAGTCCCAGAAAAATCTGGTTTATTCACTAGTATATGTCCATGCAGAAAGCACATTACATTGACAGCACAGAAGCAAAAAGTATTGCACAGGTATATCGGATTCCCACGATGTGCAGGTTTAAAGTCGCTACTATTATCAACCTTAATCTTATTTCCTATTGGTATCTCATGGCTTTATTGGAACTATTGTTATTTAAACCTATCCTTAACAGAATCTCAGTTCTACAACCAAAGGGGCTGCAGTGGGAAATTAGAACACTGGGCAATGCAACAGAAAACTGGTGTAACACACTAATCCTGACATACACCATCGCCTTCACTGCCTGCAATCGGCTGTACTTTTGAGGCACCAGCCCCAATGTACATGTCAAATCTCCAGCTTTCTAGATGTTTCTAAAATGGCATTGCTGCTGCCAAATTCAGTTTTTAACAATTGTTCTGATTATGATGATATGAGGATGTCATTTATTCCTATGATATGCAGAAGCAGAGAACCCGCTAGCTGTTAGCCGGCTAGACTGTCGAAAACAATAGCATTTGTATGAATTATCGCCACTACTACTCATCCTGTGCTAGCAGCTGTTCACTGAAGAGACACAAGGTCAGCATCCAAGACCATCTGCATCATATATTCTTCATATTGGTAAAATTGTTGATTTTCTGTATTACTATCTTCTTAGGTGTGTGCCATCAGACTGATCTAGAATCCCATCTTCAGCATTTTCTCTGAAGTTTTAACCCATCTTGAAAAAAAAAAATCCCAGTTTCAATCACACCTACATAGATGCGCAATAGAAAACAAAATCTCGTCTTCTTTTTGAATGACTTGTTAAAAGCTTATTTTTTTTTCCTCCCACTAAATTGGCCCGTTGGGTTTTATTCGCCTCTCTGCATAAACAGCCGCATGGCCGACTCGTCCCTCCCACCCACTCAGAGGGGCTGGAAACACACTGAGCCCACCCCCCCACCCCACTGGGTCCCCCAGTCCCCCCAGTAATGGGCATTTCCCCTGGGTATAGAGGCCCCCGTTGTCTCCCACAGTGAATGATCTAAAAGCAGAAAGAGAAACAGAATTAAGATTCTACTGCGATGCAGATGGAGACGGTGCAGCATCCTACAGTCAATGTCTCAGCAATCCTGACATCACAAACACTGCTGGCCTTACTCAAAATCACTTAAACTCATATTTTCAATACTCTGAAATGTACTTTTCAAAAAAGTACTTTTAAGCTGGGAGACACTAACATTTCCTGCACTGGTAAAACCAAGCTTTGAGCATAAAAAAAAAATAAAATTGTAAATTTACATTTAGTTTAATTCTGAATTTAATTCTAGTTTAGTTCAGAAGGTTTTTTTTGCCAGTCACTAGAGGGAACTTTTTAAAAATGTAAACAACCAGCAGCCATGTCGAGTAAACCCTGTAATGCCAATATTTTACAGTATCAATTAAACCAAAAGATGTATGTAGTCGCCACTGATCTCACATTTACTCAATGGACCCCAACACAGGCTTGAGGGGAATAATCATAGTGAATTCATACTAGTGTAGGCATGACAGCCACTGCAGCGCACAGTAAGCCTCACCCCCGCGCATGCACTCCTCTTGCCACCTATGAAGTTACACGCCATAGAAGGCTGCCAGACGCTCCTTCAGGGGCAATGGAAACTGATCCGAGAATCGTCTCCAATTTTCATCTCCCACTTGGTTCTTGAATCCATGGAGTATCTGAAAAGGCATCCCGAATGCTCCAGTTGTGTTCATCAAGTCAAAATTAGCACTTAGACTCAGAGCTACCACACATTTTTGCCCACTTTAAAAGGAACACGAGGAAAGCATCATTCGTCTCAATTGAACTTGGGTAACAAACCATTGATTAATACATTTTCCCTGGCAAGGGTCTTATCCGTAAAACAGATACGGTCCTTACCTTACAGAACATGTCTCGTAGATCATCCTTTGGATTAACCCATGAGGCAATTGCATCACAGAAAAATATAAAGTCCTGAAAGGCAGAAGAAAAATCATTTAAACAAGAAAGGCGCTTTCCATGCATTCATCCACTGAAAATGCCATTCATTTCTGAAGCCTGTTCTCCTATCCTTGCCCACAGTCCCCTGGGCAAGTGTGACCAGGAAGAGAGAGACGGAGGAGAAGGCAGACATCACCTGCACCACTCCTCCTGGATTGACACTGATCATAGTGCAGATGCCTCGAAAAGCAGAATCTTTCTCCTCATTGTCTCTTATGTTACGTAAAGAGGTGCACCTGCCAATAGAAAAACCAGGGACATTTGAACTACAGCAGTTTTTGTTTTATACTGATGCCAAATTTCAGACACTAAACAGCTTGCACAGTCGATTATTGCAATACATACTTAACTATACATAAATATATTACAGTTCTCAATTACATCCTTTTAACATGACATTTCATAACACTTCATATAAATTTTGGTCTTAATTTACGTTCTATTAGGTTAATATAAATTCCTGTGGAATAAATGTATTTTAGTCAAAGCTATGATGAGAAATAATTGCTACATTAATAAAAGCTATCTTCATACTTTGTAGAAAAATTAAAATTTAAGCCTTTATAAAAAGCATTATTGCTTAAACTGTTTCATGGCAGAGTGTCCATTTAGTTTTAACGTGACACACAATAGCAAGTAAAACTTTCAATAATTGTATTCAGCAAATATTCTGACATGCACAGTAAGAAAAAGGAAAATTTGCCATTTACTTTTTTTGTTAAAAGCCAATTGAGCATAATGAAAAAGGGCATTTTGTTTTAATATTACACTTGACTATAAACAACTGACATTTACTATAAGACACTGACAACAATAGCACCTTCCGTACAACAATTTTTTTCAAATTAAGGTTTGGAACATTCTGGAATTGAGGCATGCACTGGGGAAGACTATTTTGGTGGACTGATAATGCTCTTTTGGCATATATACAAGCCCTTTTTTGAATCAGCAAGCATGTGACAATCTTATCCCATGCACTAATTAGTTGTTAGCGACAATAAACAACAACAAATTAAAATAAATAAATATATACATGAAAGGTGCTACTGAGGGGGGGAAAAAAAATCACAAGACCTAAAAAAGGACAGGATTAGTCACATGACTGGCAATGATTAAGGACTGTGATTCTAAAAAACAGAAAATAGTTCTTTCAGACTGAAAAAAGGGAGAGGGACAGAGAGACAAAGAGGAGAGTGAAGAAGAAATGAATTAAATAAAAGATTGAATAATACACACCAGGGTCTTATAAACTGCTGTAGCATGGGAGCCACCTCTTGAGGACAAACGTAACCAAGACGACCAATTGTTATTGCTAAGGTAACGCAATCACGGTTATACACCACCAAACGCCAACCAAGACATGAGCAAATGAGGGGGAGGAGAAAAAAATAAAGAAAAACACAACAAATAACTCAGAAACAGAAATCAACAGAACCTGTGTATGATAATAAACATAAGATTTTACTAGTGTTGATTATTAATACCCCAGCTAAGGGGAATGTAAAATATGATACTCTAAAATAAACAAAACGTTTAAGGGAGAATACTTGAAAGCACAATGTAACCTTTGGTAAACTCAACGTACAAGAGTACAGATGCCGCCTCAAATTTTGGCCATGAAGAATGTGGAATTATTATACCGTTTTACAATACCTACTATTACCATAAATCTCTGAAAATTATAAATCAATGCTAATGAAATATGATCAGTAGCCATTTTTCCATTTCATTATCGCATCCCCAGAAAATCTGATCAGAGCACAGCTATTGAGCTTCCTAAGTTTTCTCCCTTAAACTCACAAAAGGTTAATCTTACTAAGAAAAAAGAAATGGTTTAAAGATTACTCCAAGCCAACTACATGGAGAACACTAGATTCCAGCAGATTCGTATGAAGCAGAGGAGGGAGACCTAAGTTTAAGAGACACAAACTATGCAACATTCTCATTAAAACAGGCATTTATGAACAATCCAATGAAACATGCAGAAAGCAGATGAATGCTCATTAGAAACAGGTTCACTGCAGGATACACTGATTGTCTGTAGCAGTGGAAACTGCTGCTTAATATTTCACTCAGGACCATTACATTTAAATAGGTAATCTGCCTTATAACAGCATTAAAATTGGCTGTATCTTGGTAGAAACTACTTAGTAACATATAAATCAGAACATATCCAGAATTCTATGACAAATATTGCGTTATGCTGGATATGGATTACAGTTTGGCATACATTTTAAATTATATCTATGCAACATCGGCTAAATGCCCCCCCCCACCCCAAAAATTAATGGCCCTATTTTCTATTTTCGCTTGATACGATACCCCCCCAAAGGTAATGTGGACATTCTTGTTGGAAAAAAAAAGAGAAAAAAAGAAGGATCAGATATCCTGCATTAAACATTTGCCATCCTTAACTAAACAACATTCAACATCTATTTGCAGATATGCATTCACATTGAAAACAGTAACTAAAAACAACAAATAAATAAACCGACAAACAAACAGGAACACAACTAGAATGCCCTAATATTTCCCTAGCAGTTAGTCTAAATTACACTGCACCCCAAAGTGTTCAGACATTGTAATTGGGAAGATGGCCATTTCAGTATAATTTGAACACAACTTTCATTCAAAGCAAAAGGTAAAATTTCACACTAAAAGTAAAGTGTAAAATGCAAGACGATTACTAAATAAAGGTGCCATACTTTCTCAATTATGTGCAGTTACTGCAAATAAAAATCTGTTAAAAATACTATTTTAACAGAAAGAGGCAAAATTTACTTTGCCAATCAAGTACTAGAATTATAGGCCATAATACACTTTTATCAAATTTCATTCTAATGTTTGTTACAAGTTCATTCAGTAAAATTAGGAAGAACATGTCAAACCTGGCAACAGTTTAATTCAGCTCTGTTAATACCAAGAATGTACAATTACAAGATTTGTTCAATTCAATAAGTAAATTTTAGGGAGGGAGGGGCAGCTGCTCCTGTTTATTCTTTCATGTCCTGGAGACATGAGGGATCATTTGAATTTCAGTTGCACTGTAATTGTAAATAAAATGCAACCAGCAAATCTTGTAAGTACATCTTGGGAGTTATGAGATTAACAGGCACTTCAGTTTGCACGTTTCCCCCACTCTGACGGCAGACACCTCCCGTGGTGCTGCCTAGCTGAGCACGTGTCACCGTGTGGTACCTGTATTCTCCAACAATGTCTTGGGGGTATTTGGTCTGTTAATGATCTCCACCAGCTGGTGTAACACCATGGCTACGTAGGGCTGCATTTCAGCGCCTGCAGGACCGGTAGAGTAAATTAGAAATAAGCTTCTGTCAAAAGACAGGGCTGAGAAACACTAAAAAATACTGTAAATAGCAGCATGACTAACATCTACAGAAACACCTATGGATTGATCAAAAATAGGAAAAACGTGAAAGTCACCCAGTTTAAAGAAACAGTGAAACTTAATGCTAGCTAATGGAAGCTGAAAATAAGCAGATCACAGTTTCAATACAGTACAAAACACACCTACCCATCTGAATAGATATCTCTCCGATTGCCCATGTTGCATTGTTGCACACAGAAATTAATTCGGGGTTTAGATTAGTGCCCAGAATAGGCATAAAATCAGCTGTGAAAAGAAGATAACATTCTCAGAATTGGCCAAGAATATTTCAATATCATTAATTTAGCATTAGCCTTTAGCTCCAATGTTAAATAGATGATAAGATGGCACACTGTTATGCCAAAGTACATACCAATACATGGCTTGACATGGGGAAAACAAGCCTTGGTTAAATCGCCCAGAAGGGCAAATGAACTCTGCCTGACCTCAGGCATTTTGTCCTGAAAGAGAAGTAGAGGACATTGCAAGGTTACCATTCATGGCGCTTGGGTTTTTGTTAAGCAAATCCTGCAGCAGGGGGGATACATTAACAGGACATGTGAACGGCTCAGCCATAAACCATAAAGAGAGCCTAAGCCTTCATTAAACAGGCTAAACATACCAGTCTCATCCTCCCCAGCTGGTGGGCTTGTAAGGCTCTCTGCTTACTGAAAACTCGGCATTAACAACAGCTATATATAAAAGGCAGCAATGATGAGAACCAGTAAAATAACCTAGACTGCAAGTTTACTTTAAACTTGAGTACGGTGACAGAATAAACACTGTTTTGTACAACATAATTGCAGATTAATGAGTAATCATACATAAACAGCCCATCATCATTTTAACTTTTTCTTTCCTAAGAAGTACACTTAAAAATACACATATTCCATGGCCAGAGGTCAAAGGACACTGACTTGCAGTGCGAAGTTCCAATTAACCATGTAGCTTGTTGGGTGTTTCTCAATACCAAGAACGCAAAGATCCTACATGTGTTCTTGGCAAGAGCGGTCTTGCTAACTTGCCTCCCAAGAATGAACACAATGAATTGTGGGACTGGTCTTATTGGAGAGGAGGCAACCAGAGCAAGAACGACATCCGGGGATTTTTACCATCCTCTGTACTGTATGTCTGTTCTTAGTACTGGAACTGCACTTTGGCAATGGCAGATGTCAAACAGGGACAGGAGGAGACAAATATGGTCAAGTATGCATATTGATCAAAACCCTTTGTCTCTCTGACTGGCAGTACATCATTTCTCCAAAAAGGGACACACTGGCCAAAATATGCAATGTGGAATTTCTAGCATGAAGCCCTAATTTTTTTCATGGGGAAAATGGAATTAAGCATTTAACACTAACATTACACTCAACACTTAAGTGTACTGCTGCTCTTTGACGGAGGACAGTTACCTGCATGCACTGATACATTAGCGTAAGGATGTTGCTACGCGCCACCAGCTGCTCGATGTTACCGCCCAGTCCCTCTGCCAGGCCACTCAACAGATCTAGGGCTACAATCATGAAGTCTTTGTCTGGTGCTTCATACTGGTCTGGCTGCGAGTGGTGTAGCTAGGATGGGGAAAGGAAAGGGGGTTTTAATTAAAGCTCCACACTGGAGAATCTGCAACAGCTTCTCAGAGTATAAATGCAAGTTTGACATTTGCCTGGCAGCTGATCATGCAGTGTTTCGTAGGTTAAGAAACAAAATACAAAAAAAAAATTATGTATAACTGCATTTAACATAACCAATACTATATAGTTGCCAGGAGTCAAGTGGACAGGTTCACTAAGATATAACACACTACACATATCCACATAAAACGGTCGGAGAATTCTGCTATTCTTACCATTGCTTGTGCAAGGGTTTTCTGCACCAGGTTGACGCAGCGCTGGTACACAGGTTCACAGTATGGGAGGAAGCCAGACTGCAAGGCGGTGGCCACAGAGGACAGGCACTGTTGGGAGAGGCACAGGAGTGAGATAATACAGCGGCCGGTGGAGAAACACCACATGTGAAGATCCGATTCAACTGCGTAAGCTACATTTGAGGTGGGCTTTATTGGAGTCAACTGTAATCAGTTTCACTAAGATATCGCTAAACAATATGCAGTACTGACACTGGCCTATTCAAAAGAACCTTATAAAAATAACTAGCAAATATGGCAGAAAACTCACAGAAGCATAAAGAGTTATTGATTTCTGTTACCTTACGTATTTCCAATGAACACTGCTAACTTGTGACAATCGTAGTCTTTGTCTATCAAAGAATGTCCTTTTTATATTCGGGTGTTTTGTAGTTCTTAACTCCCTTTCTACCTCAGTATTGTTTCATATTAGACCTTGAAAGAAACTGCTCCCATTGCCCCAACATCCATTAAAATGAGGATTTACTAAATTTGCATCTATAAAAAGGCTTTATTCCTGCCAGAGCTGAATTAATTACTCTTTTCCAAGAAAGACAATGAAAGGCCACCTCAAGTAAAGGGAAGAGATCCTTGTCTTCATCCTTAAGCTGATTCCACTTCTGAATAAGTGGTGGCATCAGCATCTGAATATACTCCTAGGAACAAAGAACGAAATATGTCATGTGCTTTTGCGATTCCTCTAAAAGCCACTGCAGTAAATTCCATAGATAAATCTTCCCATAAAACAGAATGTGACAGATCAGGCCTGTTGTTCCTACTCAAGAGCAAATTAGCGGTGAATCCCTGAGCCCCAAAATGAACTTTACACCACTTTGATACTTAAGGTGTTTCAATATGCTAACATACACTGCATATGTACATTTTATTTACTCTGAAAAATGTTAGTTAACAATACACATTTTTGTTATCATTAACACAATTTGTGTTACATTACCTTACAGTTAAAAAGAGAAATTACATAAGAATGAAAGACACAACATGTTACATATTTGCCCAACCTGCCTGGTAATTCACTTTTACATCTCAATTTTTTTATTGTTCATGTCAACAGGGGTTGGATGACAGGTAACTATCACCTGCAGTCTTGGCATTTCGTTAGAAGCACTAATGTCAGCACACTAAGTTCATCTTTTTAAGGTGAACGGTAACTGTATGTTCAGTGTATAATGTGAATCCCATAAGCTAGCTGACATTACCGAACTATGTAGCTAAAGTGTTTGCTTATTAGCAACAGCTAGATTTTCACACAGGACACATCGATTCTCCCAGTCTCCATTCACTTTGAACAGAAGGCAAAGCGGAAAGACAACACAAGCACCCATAGTATCTGAATGTGTTCAATTTTTTTAGGATTTTAAAAAACAGAAGTATTTTGATGCCTCAGTGGTGGATTTTTTGTCACTTTTGAGCAAGACTAGTTTCTGAATGCAAAATAAAGTAAAATTTATCTACATGAAAAAATGTGTTCTTGCTTTAAGTAAATACCACATTTTATAAATGAATGTGGAATAATATTTTAAACAAGACAGTAAAAACACAATGTGTGTCAGAGATTTCTAGCTACAATGGAATAATACATTATTAAATGGAATAATACACTGGTTTTTGTTAAACTGAGAAATCGTGTTGTGCAACCTGCTAATGTGTTAAAAAAAAAAACAACACAGTTCAACAGTTCATACTGTTAATACTTATAGGATTCTATGGAATGTCGGTTCACATACTTTTTAGTTCACCATGTGTGTCTTGGTCATAATTTAACATCCATGACAAACAAGATGGGCCAGTGGGCCTAATATGTTAGAATGATGCGGTTAATTCTTGGATGGCTCCTAAGATCTGCCTTTTTAGTCACTTTCCATAAACGCTACTTACAATGATGCATAATTTATTTTCACATGAAAACGTGAAGCCTAACAGCATCTCTCAAAACTCCGGTGGAAAGGCGTCACTACCGGTTTGTTGAGGTGGTGCCCGACGGAGTCGGCCAGGGTCCCGATGGCGTCGTACAAGATGAGCAGGTTCTTATGTTGGTACTTGCTGAAGGCGAAGACAAGGGTGTCCAGGATGTAGGCGAGGTAGGGCACCAGCTCTGTGCAAGCCTCCTCCTCCAGCGTCGCGAAGGCACTGAAGGACGTCGGGTGACAGGGGATGAGAAAGGATGGAGAGGAATATTGCACAGTATTCAAATAGTGCCAATACAATCAATGGACAGGATTAGTCCAACTCGTCCAACCATTTATTCATTTGCATTTTTTTGCTCCGTCTATATTGTCCTTGCAGTCATGCATGTTCTGTTCTGTGTCTGTCTAACCAAGAAAAAGATCAGTGGTAGTGTGAAAAATTAAAGAAATATCACAAGCATGGCATCCAGTCTCAGATTCCCCCAGTTCCTTGGGCAACAGAATTCAAACATACAAGTTCTCGTCGAGGACGGCACTATTACAATAAACCGGATCCATATGGTCGTTCGTGAGGCAGAGGAGGACAACAGATTTCCGGAGTCAGTGCCATGACTCAGTCTAAGTGTTGCTTCACAGCAGGCCAAAAAAAAAAAACAGGCCAACAGTTACAGCTTTTCATTATAAACCGGGAGCCACCCAGCGTGGAAGACGTTCAACCAAAGCAGCAGACTGAACATACAAATGTGTATATTCTTATCATTTCTTATCTCTGAAGAGAAGCTGGAGGAGGCAGACAGGAGGTATTGAGGCAAAACTGAATTTCCCGAGAAAGTATCCCACCAGTGCAGAGCATCAGGGGTGCATTAAGACTTTCAAAGCTCTGTGGGCTTGTGCAAATAAAGTACATTACTGCACATAAACGAAAGCTTACAGGCTAAATCCCAATGCCAGGACCGTCACTGACGGCTTTTTAGCCATTAGTAGGGGTGGAAATGCTAGAATCGTCGATGGGGGATGCCAAAGGTTACATTTTTGATGAGAGCCATCAAGCAGGCAAGTCTTTAATGGTACATCACCATCTAGTGGTTAATGAGTTAACCAGCTCCTCAAATTCAGGGATGGATGGCCTTCTTCCAGACAGGGCCAGTGTTGTCAAGTTTTATGGTTAATGTTAGCAAAAACACCACAAAACCACGGATTAAATCTCTGTCCAAATATGCTTGCTGTCATACCTGCAGGCAGCCTCCTGGACGCGCTTGTTACTGTCCAGGATGCGTTTAAGCAGCTCTGTCATCAGGGGCTTCAGGTAGGTGTCGGGGGGCTGGCTCACCACCCAGTGCGCGTAGCGGCTCAGCGTCCAGCAGGTGATGGAGCGCACCAAGGCCTTCTTGTCCGACAGACACTGCACCAGGTGAGGGATGAGCTCGGGCAGGTAGGGGATCATGCCCTGCATACAGCCTGGTGGGAGTCATTACTTGGCTTTATAAGATGACATTACAGCAATGAATTTGCCAAAAATAACTACTACAACAGTGTAATTAGTATTTCATGAAAGAGAACACTTCATCACCTTGAACTGGGCATATACAAAAAAGAACTGGAGAAGCTGCTTAAAATCAACTGGATGCTAGTGGTCGCAAATCAGAGCTGGAGACAACAAATATTGGTATTTAATACCTTCTTCTAAGCTGATCCCCTGGACATTTGTAGCAATTAGACTGAAGCTATAGCACAGCAGCATTATTCTACAACATTACTAATAAATGCAGCCACTGAGATTTAACATCCAGCATATCCTGGCTACCAGATCCAAAAGGTACAGAGTTTAATTTCTTCCTCCATACAAATGCGTGCCATAAAAACCGCGGTCAGTGGAAGGCTTATGGCTTTTTACTGCTTAGCGAGCTGGTAACAAGCCAAGAAAGATAAGGGCTGCGATACAGCCGATGCCGCTTCTGATGTCTCATGATTCTCACCAGACTTCTCTGCATTTTAGCGAGGGCCCTGGAGCAGGAGGCCGGGCCTGGCTTCCACCTACCTTCAGCAATGGCACCCAGCACCAGGATGCCCGACTCCTTGATGACCCACTCTGGGTGGAAGAGGAGCTCCTTCAGCAGGGGCAGTATGTGCAGCAGCAGGTCGTCCCGAAACACATTGGCCAAGACATCCAGGGCAGCAGCAGAGCACTTTCCTAAAGAGAGACAGGGAGAGACCAAGCTCATCTCCCCTCATCCAGTACCATTGAATGATGCCGGACCGTCCATCAAGTACTCCGTAATCTAAGCCAGTGTTTCCCAACCCGGCCCGTGGGGACCCCCAGAAAGTCCATATTTTTTTTGCTCACTCCCAGTGCAAAAACGTGGAGGATCTGGGAGGGAGCAAAAACATGAAGTATCTGGGAGGGAGCAAAAACATGAAGAATCTGGGAGGGAGCAAAAACATGAAGTATCTGGGAGGGAGCAAAAACATGAAGAATCTGGGAGGGAGCAAAAACATGAAGTATCTGGGAGGGAGCAAAAACATGAAGTATCTGGCCGTCCCTGAGGACCGGGGTGGGAAACACTGACCTAAGCTGCGATTCCTTAATTGCCTGAAGTGTATGGAACTGGTGGGATCATTTACAGAGAGGAAAACTGCTGTATTTATAATGAAAGGCTGATAGGAAAAACAGAAAACATGAAAGGTCTGGTGACCATATATATATAAAAAAAATAAAAAATAAATAAAAAAAGTACTGTGTTATTTATATGACTGGGGAGCTATGCAAGAAAATTTCAAAGCAAATGGATTCAAAAGCACAAACACCTTGTGAGACTAAATGTTGGGGAGTAACTAGTTACATGTAACAACGTTATGGAATTAAATTACTAAATAAATATAATTGTTATTCATTACAATTACTGTGAAAACATATGTAATTAATGTACAGTTACTAATCAAAATGTGGGTGACTACAAAGGGGTTGCATGCACATATATCCTTCTCGGTAAAAAGCTCGTATGTAGAATACAACATTCATTTTGTTGCTTTGCATCTTTTTGCTGTGCAGAAATGCCCTTTGGCATATTTCCACACAATGTCGCTGGCACTTTTCTACTGTATTGCCTAGTTTAAAACATGTTAGAAAAGTAATCATAAAGTAATCAAATATAGTGCTACATTTAGGGTTAGGCGATAAAACGAAAACGAAATATTGCAGTATAATTTTCCTTGATATCGATATGCCAAGTGCTCGATAAAAGATCGATATAATTTACGGTCCAACATGCTGCTGGCAACACGCATTGTATCATAAAATGACGCCACTTTCTCTGCAGCTTCTTGTCAGGACCGGCAGCGGAGCATGAGCTCAAACACAACCGTGAAAATGGGGGATTTATTGAACAAATAACAGAATGCAATAGTGCAGGTAGGCAGACAACAGACAAAACTGTCAGACCAACAGGGCGACTCACCAGGAGTGCAAGTCCAAAGCACCTTGTTCAATAAAGGTAATTCCACAAAATCCAAAAGGAACATCCCCAGTAAAAGTCAGTCCATGAGAAATCGCAACAGTAACAATTCACAGAGAATTAAGAAAAGATAGGAAGAATACCAGCAGCAGCATGTTTCAGCGATGACTAAAATAACCTACTTCTATCTCAGACTTCTGAAATACGAAATACTGTTTGACCCCACAAGTCGTTTTTGGTTTCCCTTTCAACAGGCTTTGAGCCCTTCTTTTAGCAGAGAGCTCCATCTAGTGGGGTCAGAAAATATAGCAAATTGTTCTGGAAGCGTAATTTTGGTCATTGCTACTGTTTGTTATAAACTTTTCTTTATCATCAGAATGTAACTATGATTAACCATCTGGTTTCTTCAATTTTAACTCGGAAGTAAAAATCAGCCTTTAAACTGGAGAGAAATAATGACTTGAAATTTATTGCGATAATTATCAATATCAACAGATATGAACATTTTTATCGTGATAACAATTTTAGCCATATCACCTAGCTCTATCTACATTACTCTAAAGAAGTAATCAAACTAGTTGCATTACTTAATATTTTTAACAGGGTAAATTATTATATTTCAAAAGTAACCCTCCCAACCCTGGTGACCCACATACAAAAGCATTATTTCATTCCCATGATATTTCAAAGAAGTCTTTATACGGATACACTTACTCAAATTCCAGTCAGAAATGGTGTCGTCATCATCCAGGTCTTCGTCATCATCATCCCCCTCCTCGATGCCGTCGGCCTCGTGCTGCTGGGCCACCGTCCGCGAGCGGTGGAACCTTGGCCGGATGTCCTGCTCGTTGTCTGGGATGGCCTCGTCCTCCTCCACATCTCCCTAAGATGAGTTGCAGACAATGTTTACATGTTTTTCTCCCGTCCTTGTTATAAACATGCCAGTTGTTAGTGGACTGGAAACACGCAAGGAAACCTTCCTAAATGAGCACAGACTGAAGTGTAATTTGATGGTGCCTGGCGCCTGCCTCACTTTTAAGCTCCCAGGAACTGCTATTAATATCACCATGCGGTAAGGATCACAGGTAAAGTTCTTTCTATGAAAGTGGCATTTACACCTGATACAAACATCAGGTCCAATTAGGAATTGTCGGCTTTGTTTTAATAAAACATCAAAACCTAACCGGGTCTTTAAAAGTTCTTTAAACAGTTTCCACCATTGTGGAATATATTATTACCACCAACACTGCATGGAGGACACAACCAGATGCCAAAGATTTTCATTCCCTATACTTCCCTATAGTTCCAGATCGACGTCTATCCGTCTGCTATCTGAGGATGATGTAAGGTCGTGACGCCAACACTTAGAATTCCGCATTCTAAGACACATCAGCTGGTCACCAAACTGTCTGGAGATTAAACTGTAGGTGCCATGAGCAATTGGAAATCTTCAATTTATCCATCCTTTCAAGATGCATGTCCAAAATTCCCTTTCAATTTCCCTCTGCAGTTAATCATTCTGCTCACTAACCCTCGGCTGTTATAGGTGAAGCTGTACTGAGAGGTGATTCTAAACCGGGGGCTAATCTGGGGCTCCTGGGGAAATAAAACTTCATGGACCCTCCAATTCTCCCTCCCCCGACAGGGGGAAATGTATTGCCATCATTTTAACATCTAATCTAAATGAATAATATCAACAAAGAGAATTTAATAAATACAAGTCCTTCGTTCTCAGTTTTGTGAAAAACAGAATACGTAAAGCAGATTTGTCGTTGCAATGTACAATGTAATCGGTCGCCCCTCAGGGCCCCCCCTCCCAGCTCAGGGCCCCCCCTCCCAGCTCAGGGCCCCCCCTCCCAGCTCAGGGCCCTGGGAAATATCTTGCCTCGTCTGTCCTGTCACTGCACCTCTGGCTATATTAAATCTTATCACAGACCAAGAAAACCATTTTCTTAACAACAAATACGGTTCAAAATGAAAATTTACCATTTGATTTAAATGCATTAAAACCCCTAAACAATATATTCAAAAAGGAAAAGATTACTAACCTTAAGCAGTATGATATCAATCTCCGAATACTTCATCCCATTAACTAAAACAGGGGTTAACCTGAAACAGAAAAAATAAAGAGAATATGAGAATTACAGCATGACTAAGTAGATTTGGCGTTAAACTTTGGAACCAAAGAAAACTTGCAGTGTTACAAAGACAAATAGCAGCAATGTTTACTTCTATCAGCAAAATGAAAGAATGCACTGAAAATGTGGCACATTGTAGCTACACTCAAGGAAAGATGCATGTTTAATCGGCACAATTAAAAAATATGGACACTACTAATACAGTCTATGACAAAGGATTTTTATATACAGATATACACACACACACACACACACACACACATATATATATATATATATATACACACACACAGACCATAAATGAGACCAATGTTCAAATCATGGTTTAATTGTGGTTCTCCTGGCAGAAGCTACACTGAGCAGCAGGATGCTCTCAGGTTCAGTACACAAAAATAAGGTGAAGCAGGAGACACTGGGAACGACCAGGAACCAGCCAGGTAAAGGGCGGAAGCCACATTCTAATGCCAGAGATGAATCTTAACTTATCCGACAGGATGACATCAAATGACCTTCAAAAGGAATGGGAAACATTAAGTGCAGGTGTGAAGTGCGCTGCTAGGACAGTTCGTATCAGGCTCCTAAAAGCAGGACTGAAATCCCATAAAGCAAGGAAGAAGCCCTTCATTAATGAGAAACAGGGAAGAGGCAGGCTGCAATTTGCAGAAAATTTGCGCATGTGTGTGTATTTTTTATATATATATAGGTTTACGGACCCCGGCGGAAGGTCCGGCCGGCCCGGCCCGGCCCGGCCACACATCACTCACTTGGAGAGGTGTCCGCACAGCACGTCCTTGCACACTGGCTGCTCGGCTAGCGTGAGCCAGAACTCACAGGCCTCCAGGGCCACGTTCTCGTCCTGGTCCTGAGTCCTCTGCAGCATATACTGTGGGGAAGGCATAGGGAGGAAGCCTAAGATCACCACTGTCAGAAGAGATTCCCCATTCAATAGCTATACATCTCCATAGGAGCCCAGGACTGGGAGCCTGAGGTGCTAATTCTCATAGTCACATATGAAGGGCACAAGTCGCATTATAAAGGAAGAAGTGCAGAGATATTAAACTACCGCTTTCAAATCTCCCACAGAACATCTACTCACACTACAAAAAGCAGGCAAATATAAGTGAATAGAAATTAGGGTGCTTGGTTGCCATAGGGTTAAATTAATGGCTTGATGGAAGGGAGCAAAAATGTGGGCTGTTTGGCAGGAAGCTGGGAGGGAACAAAAACGTGGACCGGCTGGGCTTCCCCGAGGACAGGATTGGGAAAAGCTGCATTAGTAAGACTCACAGGTCCCAAATCTCACAGCTTATAGCTAATTGCTCCATCTCCCATGAGAATCTCATGGGCTGTCAAGGACCAATTATTCAGACCGCCTAACCCCCCCCCCCTCCCCCAGCCAGTTTTAAATGACCTCACCTTTTTTGATGGCTCAGTGTTTTTACCAAATACTGCAGGTTTTTAATTACTGCAGCCAGAATGACTGAAGGCTCACTTTCCTTAGCCTAAGTCTCATCTGCAAGACCACTGCTGACTGCCTTTAAGAATATTTACTGAAAAGGGGAAATTTATTATGTTTTCTGGTAAAACCCATTTTCTAGCAGGAGATCGCCTGCAGAAAGAGAACGCTTTAAAAATCAGCTACAATAAGGAACTGCATGCTGCATTCTGCCCACATGGCTGATATTCCAGCTGATATTCTGTAGATCCTGACCATCTATTACATGCATTCATGTGTGCTGCAGATGGATTAAAGAATGCAGTGTCCAGATCATGTTATCATTATCCATTCAAGCAATTTAACTGCAAAAATGCAAAGCGATAATGAAGTTCTTATTAAAGAAAGATCAAAATGTCAGTGAAGTACTAAAGGAAAACAGGAAATTACATTTGACATTTGATGATGGTAATTTGCATCCACAGCATCCCTATAAATGCTGGTTTATAGTCAAGCTGAGCTGCTCTTCAGGAATGCTGAGCTCATAGCGGAACATAGCACAGGGAACCACAGACTCCCCAGTCAAGTGGGTCTCCCCTGTAACCATAGCGCCCTCCCCCCACATCGAGTGCTCCCCACTTAGACTCTGAAGCTTGATCTTACCTCAACGATGTTGTGCATGTGTGGGAGCAGCCGATCCATGCGGACCTCCAGCAGCATGACCAGGGCACGGCAGACATTCTTCCTCACCTCGGATTCCTCATCCCCCGCCAGCGCAAAGAGGTTCTGCTCAACGACAGCAGAAGACGCTCCCAACGCTTGTCACTCATAATCATCAAGCACAACATTACAGCAACCAAGACTTGGTTCAAACAGCCCTTCCCCAGCGGAACAGTCATAGAACAAAATGTCCTTTATGCTTCTAACCCACCAAACACTTCATACAAGGTGATCGATCCGGCATGTAAACTTTGAAGGACTTTGGGACCAGAGAAGATTATTCTCTGGCAGATTATCTACAGCATCCAGAACCATAGCTAAGAGCCACAATAGGCTCTTTACACCCAAAGTACACTGTCAGAAAAAAAGTAGCAATTTGTACCTTTGGGGGTACGATTACTTGTCAGTGGGGCTGTACCCTCAAGGGTCTGTCATACCTAGTTGTAGGTAAATGTACCTTTTAAGGTACAGAAATGGACTCTGAGGAACAATTGTGGGTACACTGATGTTGTTTGTACCCTGGGGAACAAAACTGTACCAGGGCTGCACCCTTTTTCTGACAGTGTAGGACATTTTGTATAAGATGGGTTCTTCACAAGGATTTACGACGTCCCAAGAGAGTGGAACGGAGGGCCCTTTGACTTTCAGACTACGGTTCTGGCACAGAGCAGACTGCATTCACATGCCAGTCAGGCAAAACTGGTCCATAAAGCGCAAGCAATCATTCCCCCTATATTCCAAACAGCAATATGTGTAAATCATGGTACATATTTACTTATAGTGAATCTTGCTCATTAACATTTTGTACTCTGTACTACCATAAACATAGCACAAACATCTGCACAAAGCCGGCTAGTTTGAAGTAAAAAAGATGTTTGCTTTCCTGATTATTCTTGAAAAAGGGCTTAAGTAGTATCAATACTAGGTGAGACCCATAAGGGTACAGGTATATTCAAATAGTATAGTATACTAGGACAAATAAAACTGGGTTAACTGCAGACAGGACTGGCCTAATCAGTCTTATCTTGTATTAGCTACGTATGTCGCTGAACCAGATGAACTGAACACTGCAGACTGACAGCTTTTAAAACTGAGACGCAGACTCCCTCCTGTCTCATATTTGTTTTCTAGTTCTTCCAAAAGGCAGAATGCACAAGTTACAAGCTTACAAGGACGACGCGTTCTGTTTTAGTGCTCCTGCCTATTAATGATTCACCAGGAAACGGAAGGCAAGATCAATGGCTATTGTTATCATCCAAACACTCAAAGGAATTCAGGTGTTATGACCACAGAGCTTTTCCACTCCACACAAACTCCGCAGAGTTTGCAGCCAAGAAATGAGATTTAAAGTACTCCAGAAATTTGTTGCTTTTGGGCAATCCAGACATTTAATCACGTTATAAGCACAAATCCCTAGATTGTCTATGTTACTTTGAGATCGTTAAAAATGCTCAGCCGAGAAAAGACTTCAAACAAATCACACTTTATTCACAATAACAAGGAATAACAAAAGCTTTGAATTTTGAGAAGCACTGGCCGATGTTTCCATCGTTAGGCCTGACTCACCTCGATAAAGGAATCGATGTGGAGCATGAGCGCTTGAGTTCGGCTAATGATGAACTGGTTGACGCAAGCAATGGCATGGGACCTGTAAAACAGCAACAGCGCAGAACTTTACTTCACACAAAAGCAGTGTCTCTAATTTTTCTATATTTTTGGACGCTTGCATCTGACAGTGTGGAGCAAGGTTTCTCAACCCAGTCCTCGGGGACCACCAGACGGTCCACGTTTTTGCTCTCTCCCAATTGGCAGGGAATTGGGAGAGAGCAAAAACATGGACCGTCTGGTGGTCCCCGAAGGACCGGGTTGAGAAACCCTGCTCCACACTGTCAGATGCAAGCGTCCAAAAATATAGAAAAATTAGAGACACTGCTTTTGTGTGAAGTAAAGTTCTGCGCTGTTGCTGTTTTACAGGTC